AATCAAAAATCCTATATTGAATTAGATATCCTTTAAAAATTTATTGCAACTTCTAGTTTTATTGGTTATAATTTGTAGAAATTTAGATGAAAAGTTTCGATCGGATCAATAATTAAGTAATCAAAGTGAAAACAAAATAAAAATTTTGCATCTTAGAAATGAAATTTTATATTGTAAATAAATTTATTTAGGTATGGATTTATCCAATATTCTAATTTGGCTTGAGAATTAATTAATCAAAGAATTATAAGAGGGAATGAAAGAATTAAAGAGAAAAAGGAAAGTGTTAGAGTCTAAAATTAAGAAGGAACCCGATCATTTTTATAAAAGTGTTAGAGATTGAGTCATATATTTTACCAAAAATAAAAAATCCTATGAGAACCGTCTGGTTCCTAACGGTTCCCATACTAGAACCGGGAGCCAGATCAAAACCGATCAATTCTTAATAATTTGTCTCGAAATCAAATTGTTTTTTATAAAATCTGAAATCGAACCTACTGGTTCTAAACAGTTTTGGTTCAGTTCCGAAAAATAATGCCCACTCCTATTTTCAGGAATTCGTTTTTTTCCATCCAAATTCCATCCTTCAAATCAAATGGACTCTCAGTAAATTTGCCTATGTTGATAAATTGAAGGAGAGGACATAGAAACACAAATTTTTATTATGCTAAAATAATTTTGATTAATTTTGACTTAGACTATAGAAAGTCGATATTTGGGACCCACCGACTTACTAGGCCCACAGATTTATTATTATTATTATTATTATTATTATTATTATTATTATTATTATTATTGGGTTAATTTCACAAATGGTCACTGAACTTATAAAAAAATTACAAAACGATCACTGAAGTTTAAAACTTTCAGTAACGGTCACTTAAGTATTAGGACGCTTTCAAAAACGATCACTGAAGTTTAAAAATTTTTGAGCTACTTTTGTGGCAATTTTTCGACCACTTCCGACCACCGATACCACCGGATTTTGATACCGTTGGAAAGCCTACAATGTCCTTTTCAATTACAACAAAAAATCTCCCCCAAACTCCAAAGGATTCAGCCAGAATAAACCCACAAAGTTGGTTACCCAAAAAGGCAAAAATCTGCCCAAATTTTCAAATTTTTGGTGGACTTTTGTGGCGATTTTTTGACAACTTCCGACCACCAAAGTAGCCTGATTTTGATACCGTTGGAAAGTCCACAATGTCCTCTTTAATTAGCATCCAAAATCTCTCCAAAACTCCAAAATATTCGGCCAGAATAAATTCACGAAGTTGGCATCCCAGATTTTCATCTTTTTGGGATGCCGACTTTGCGGGTTTATTCCGGCCGAATTCTTTGGAGTTTGGGAGAGATTTTGGATGGTAATTGAAGAAGACATTGTGAGCTTTCCAATGGTATCAAAGTCCGACTGATTTTTTGGGGCGACTTATGTGGTGATTTTCCAGTCGAGTTCCTTGGTGTTACGGAGAGATTTTGAGTGGTAATTGAAGAGGACGCTATGGACTTTCCAACGGTATCAAAATTCGATGGCATCGGTAGTTGGAAGTAACCGAAAAATTGCCACAAATGTAACCAAAAAAACTAAAAAAGTGTTTTTCAATTTCAGTGACCGTTTCAGAAACTTTTTAGACTTCAGTGACCGTTTTTGAAAGTGTCACAATACTTAAATGACCATTACTGAAAGTTTTAAATTTTAGTGACCATTTTGTAATTTTTCTGTAAGTTCAATGACCGTTTGTGAAATTAACCCTATTATTATTATTATTATTATTATTATTATTATTATTATTATTATTATTTTGTAAATTTAATTCAGGTGAAGTTAACTTGAAATTATATCTCAAAATCAACTACAATAACAGACAAAAAATTTGTGTGCTAAGGCATACCTCCATATTTTTAGATTTTGTTTGTCTCCCATCATGGAAAAGAAATTATAGAGTTTTGAATTGTATTTTTTGAAAAATGTGTGGTTTAAATATAATTTTTTTATTGATTTGTGGGTAAAATATTTTATTATGTGAATATATAGTAAAAAATATATTATTGTAGCAAATAATTTAATTTGTTAAAGAATATCAGACATGCTAATAATATCAAAAGGAGGAACGCCCGTTAATCACGGTTTGACCCATATTTTCCAATTCCAATTCGTGAGCTAAATTAATAAATAATCGCCACAGGCGCCTCACCCCCACTGGTCCACCCCATTGCCAACAAGGAACTCAAACATAACACAACCTCCAAATCAAACACTCTCTCGGCACGATGCCATTTTCACTTTCAAGCGACGGAAATTCACATGGAACTCTCCGATGAGAAGTCATCGAATGCCAAGGTTTGGGGCATATTCAAGCTTCCATTGCGAATCCAACACTCCATTACGACGTTGTCTTCTTCTGGTTTTACTCATCATAATCAGCAGCAACAGAGTTACGATAATCATAATAATATTAGTGATAATTCACAGGTGGAAGGCCTAAAGGCTCATGGTTCCAACTCGATTTCTTCTGTTACCAAATCTCTGCTCCCAGGGACGGAGCCAGGAATTTAAGTTATGGGAGACAAAAATTTAGAAATTTAATGTACAAAATACCTACTTTGTGCTTAGATAGTTTATTGTCGACAACTTGAACGGATAATTAGATGAATTGTTAAACTTGTTTCGATACTTTAAAACAAACTAATCAAATGCATACTTAGTGCTTACATAATTTTTTGTCGACAACGTGAACGGGTAATTAGATGAATTGTTAAATTTGTTTCGATACTTTAAAAACAAACTAATCAAATGTCTGTAAACAAATTTGAACAGAAAATTCATTAAAAACTAAAGGTTTGCAACAATTAAAAATCATAAATATAATGTATAAAACCATAAACATAACATAATTAAAAAATCATAACATAACCAAGTATAAAATAAGAAACTGATTTTACAAATTGTGGTGGGTTGGTTAATGGTTGGTGGGCTAATGAACTAAAATTAAAATATTTCAATATTTTTTTTT